CCCTCTCTCTCTCTCTCTCTCTCTCTCTCTCTCTCTCTCTCTCTCTCTCTCTCTCTCTCTCTCTCTCTCTCTCTCATGGCCATGCAGCATACATAGAACGGCGGTGGGTACAACCACGACAGCAGACGATGGTCATGCAGTGGCATGCACACACAAAACGACGGCGGGTACAACCATGACGGGCGGCCGATTTCCAAGGGGGAATTTCGAAAGTGGCCAATTTCAAAGTCGGGAGGCTATTTCCCGAAATATGTTTCTCGCCATTCGCGCCGAAAAAAATTGCACCTACGAAAAAACAGCTCTGCCGGTCTGCATATTTCCTGGGAAGAAGGGAAAGGGGGGAAGGGGGGGGAAGGTGGATATTACGTACGGTTACCCGACAAAATTGCTTACCTGTCCATACCCATCTGATGCTTTTTTCACCACCCTATAACGGTTGTACCCATGCTTTTTTTTTTCTTCTTGGCCGCCCGTACCTGCAGATTTTCCCTTTTCACCGCCAGTACCTGCCCATGCCTGCCTGTGATCTCCATGCAGTGCAACCGTGCCCGCCCTGAAATCCACGAATAAAATTTATGCCTGCCCATACTGATGCCCCCCTCCGGAAGGGTACCCGTACCTGCCCATAACCTGCCAGTTACAGTTGGGTACGGCCGGGTACGGGCAACGGTTACCCAGTTGCCACCTCTGCTTTGCATGTATTGACTCCAGTGTGGATTTCCTGTGATCTCTCGATGTGTGCGGGTGCTCAAGGTGACGAACAGTTCGCTAAGTTCAATGCATTAGGTCCTATACGGTCATTATGCTTGTATTTGGGGCAACTTTCAGTCTACATACAGCGATAATGCCCGTATGTTCTATTTGAGGGAAGATGGTAGCCATCTGCAACACAACCAAGGACATACTCACACCACAAGGGGTTAACATGGACCCCCACTTTCAGCCCTGGTTAACGGTCCCCCCCCGCCGGCACTCACATGGATTCTGTGTGCCAATCATTGAGATCTGAAACTTGCTGAGCACTCCCATGATATCTACCACCTTCGACCAAATGCAGTGCAGCCGTACCATGACTGTATCAGGCCTGAAAGATAGCCTGTATACTTCATGATGACGGTGCATCGTGTTCAGGGGGAAGATGGTAGGGCTGCTTTCCAGCAGCAATCCAGCTGACCCGGTTGTTTGTCTGCTGTTCAGCTCATTAGCCGTGTAGTATGCGGGAGGATGGGGGAGCGAGGTAGTGTAACGACAACAAAGGGCATACTCACGCGGGGCCTTTCCAGAAAAGGTAGATCAGCATGGCCACTGCGCAAGGATGACACACATCAATCGAGAACTGATCCAAATAATTAAAAAAAAAAAAAAAAAAAGAAAAAAAAAAAAGACAAGAAAAACGTACGCCTTCGGGACATCTGTTAACATTGGAATGATACAGAGAAGATTACCATGGCCCATGCACAAGGATGACACACATAAATGATCGAGAAATGGTCCTTTTTTTTTCATAAAAAGGGGAAAAAAAATGTAAGCGGAAACGAAGAAAAATAAAAACGACCACCGTATACGATACATGTGTTAGGCTTTTAGCAGATTGTAAGGTCTTTGTGAAGGTTCCAACTTCCAAGCTAAACTTTTTTGTTTTCTTTTTTTCCAAAACTAACCATTTGGATCTCTTAGGATCTGGTGTTAAAAAAAAAAAAAAAAAAAAAAAAAAAAAAAAAAAAAAAAA